GCCTGTCTCCATAACAGATGTGCATGTCCTGTAATCCTTTAACTTTGAGTATTCTATGACCTTTTACCATGACCCCTTACCTTATCTTATCCCTTACTCTCCGTGAATGGAGCCATTTTTTTCTTTTTGCCGGTATCTTGATGTGACGGAAATAACCTGATAGTGGGCTCCACGATAATTAATATTAAAAACCTAATTAAGACATTTGAACGAATCGAAACACATTTCAGAATTTACTTTGACAGTTCAGGAAATAGGAAATCTACCGTACGTATTATAATGACGGGATAACGGTAGGAAGGTGGAGGACTTTTGATTCCTCCGTCGGTTGCAGGAAATTGGAAACCGCATTCATGAAACAAAACAGAATACAACGGAAGGCTTTGTGGCCGTCGACCGTCCAAGTGAGGAGGCCTGGACTATCTTCAGTCCTTTCATAGTTCAAAATAATCGGGCGTCTCCGCAAGCAACATAGAACTTCGCACTTTTTAGCCATATTAATTGTTGACAGGTCAGGGAGTTCACCTGTCCGACCAGTACTCGGAAAAGAAAACACCCAACCGAAGATGATAGACACTCAGCAATCAGTCATCAAAAATATACACCAAAAAGAACAGTGATATAGCACTAGACCAACATCTTATAACGGTACTACGATCTGTCAAGATAAACACCCCTTGGGACAAATTTGGGAAGTCTAAGTGATAGACCGCTTTTGGAAAGAATCGTAAGTAGTGACTTTAATTTTGCGGCAGCATGACAATGTGCCTGTTATTTAATGACTATGAGAATATTAAATTCACCTCCTAATTTGGAGCACCAGACAACGTAACCACAGGGAGGGGAAATTTAAACGCCATAAATGGTGGGCAGTAAAGATCAAAGTTAAAGCTACTGAAGTGACATTCAGAGCAGTCTCTACTTGGAAGGATGCGAATATTATGTCAGATGTGAAACTGCCTATGTGTGCTAGACCTCTTAAGTAGTGAAAGACAAGCAGAAGCTAAATAAGACAGCCCTCTGGAGAGTTCAGTCACCGGTGTATCCTAATTCAGGCTTCATCAGTCAAGATGGTGGATCATTAGTCGATTACGGTGGCAGAAGGTGATGCATTATCACGCACAACTGCGGACACGAAGAGAGTAATTATAGACAAATGTGGTAAAATGAGCAACTCAGTTTGTCCCTTGGTGTGGATATAGCTATTAAAAGATTGAGTCCCTCGCCAATGGAACGAAATAACAAAAATATAGAGAAATTTTCCACGTATAAACACAATAAAGAGACTGCAAAGCACTAAGAACAATAGTTCTGCAGAGTTCAGTAATGAGTGAAAGCAGTAGTCAAGGCGAAAGCAAATAAAATGTGTTTCATGATGATTACACACAGTCATTTACCATCCATCCGGAGATCGATCTACATATTCAGCTGGTAGAGGAAGCCTCCTGTGAAACAAATGGAGAACGAATCTCCCAGGGGCTTAAACTTGAGGAAAACACAGTAAAATACTTCATTCAAATGATCAAATTATCTCAGTCAACCGTCAGCCTTATTACTATTTTATTGGAGCCCAGTTAAGACCGAAGCACGTAGTTCGAATCAAAATATCTGGAGCCAACTTAATTAATTTATAAACTGGTGTATAAAGCCATAGTTTTATTGCTGAATCCCATACCACAGCCTAGTAAAGAGAATTTGGAGAGACGGTGCCAGCAAAGGATGCGGTGATTGGACCGATAATTTCCGGCTTACTTGCCGTCATCACTAAATCTTTCGTCAAGCTAAGCCTTCAGGAACCTGGGGTATGAAAATGAGTCACTTGGCCGTCCATTCAAACGATCTATCGACCGGGTTACATAGCCAAATCTTGTTGACTGCAATCGGTAATATGTTTTCACACAAGAAGGGGCCCACCAATGAACACAGCTCTCATGTGACAATGATCCTCTCCTGCATCCAAGGGATTCGGCCTGCCAACTCTCGAGGATAGCGAATTTATCAACTTTGATCAGATGGTTTACTTC